TAACCACAGGTATATGGTCTCTTAAAGCTTCAAATTTAAGAAGTTCACATTCTCCTTAGAACTAACTCCAGAAAGAAAAAGATCAAAGAGCCCTTCTGCATTCATTAACTACCTCCAGGTGAACCTGAATTTCTAGGGTAAGTCAGAAATAAAAATTCCTTTGCCTATTATCAAAATGAAACCTACTCCTTAAACTTTTTGCAAATATCAAAAGCATGAAGTGTAATTTTAAAATTAAGTACAGAATGTAAGAGCTATAGTCATTGGGAGGAGGAGGTTACTTTTAAGAGGGAGACAGTAAATTATCTTGAGTCATAATAGTATATTGGTCTTCGAAATCATTTTCCCACCTATTGACTCATTTCATCTCCATGAATGCCTACTGTGGTAAGTAGATTTTTCCTACCATTATACAGACAACAGCAACTACCACCGCATCCTGGTGGGCTAGGGTGTTTTATTTATATTGTTCTAATTAATCCTCATGGCATCACCAGTAGTCAGGCACAAATGGCAACTTCCTTTATACAGCCAACAGTCAAGATAGAGCAATGTCCAAACATCTCTGACTTGCCAGAACCAGTTAAAGGCCAACCTGTGAATCATGCTTTACAACTAGTCCCTGCACAACTCTGCTCTGTTAGTTAATACCAGAACATGTAGCCATGTTGTGTCAGGCTGCCTAACCCCTACTTAAACCAGTGAATTTAATCAGTCAGCTTTAGCCTTAATCAGAAGTTTAAATTTCAATGTCCAGAAATAAGATTTTGGTGGAGCACAGCCATACTCATGCATGCTTTTGTGGAAGTAGCTTTTCTATGGCTACAGCAGAGTTGCTGCAAAAGAGGTTCTATGGCTCATAAAGCCTAATGTAGCTATTATCTGGCTCTTTATAGAAAAAAAGATTCGCTGACCTATCACCCAAATGATAAGGGTAATTTTTTTTTTTAAAGAGGAAGAAACGAAAGGAGACATTTTCACTGCACGCAACATGCAGCTGAAGTCTGGGTCCCTGCCTATCAGAAAGCTACAGGGCAACTATGCCCAAATCACTCAACTTTTCTTTCTTTGGTTTGCCTCATTGGAAAAATGAAGCAGTAATACCAACCTTGCTGTGCTACTGTGAAGTTTTCATAATATAGTATGTGGAAAGCATAATGTGGAGAGTAGACATGGCTTAGTAAATGGAATTACTGACTTTTTGATGCTGCTGTGTTAGTTTTGTTAAAATCAGCATGTGCAGATGATAGGGAATTAGAAGTCTTTGAAATAAATCTGCTCCAAGGTGAACTCCTTGGAATGATTACAATAAAAATGCACATGATAAAATGCAGGAGTGCCTCCTCCCACCCCCAAGTGAACCTAACAACGTTGATTGATGAAGCAGTTGAAGCAGATAAAGCCCAGCAATTCCTTCTACCCACACCTGAACGTCGTTAAAATCAATGCCCAAACCTGGAAACTGTAAGGTTAGAAACATTTAGCTGAACGAGTCATTTCTTTTCTTTCTTCTGCCAATATTCCATATGAGCCTAATTCACCCCTTTTAAAGAAGCAACAATTGCTTTTCCATTCTACCACATCTGCATTCTAGTTTACTTGGCATTTTATCAGTGCTTCAATAATTAACAAATCCTTAAAAACATCTTCAAAGAATTATTTCTCTCCAACAGCCAAATCACATTTCCCTTCTTTTTCTCAACACACCTTGCCAAGAAAATTACGAAAATGAGCTTTAGAAACACCCAACTCACCGCGTCCTGGAGGTGAGCACCGCTCCGTATCCTGTGTCTGAGACAGTGTCTTCACCGCAAGTGCTCACTCAGCCAACTACTTATAACTCCCTCACCTGGTCACCTGGTCTGTAGTTTTGCCGTAAACATCTTGGCATTCTTGTCGTAAAAATAATTGGTCGTAAATCAATTTTGTCCAAAAAAAAAAAAAAGGGCTGATGGAAGTTTTGGTTTTATTTCTCAGTTGACCCATCAAACACCTTTGGTTAACTTTTAATGCATTAAAGGAAGTTCTTAATTTGGTTTCACATCTCCATTTTGTCTTGCAGGAAGGCAAATCATGCCTTGCAAACAGCTGTGTTCTTTTCTAGAACCGTGGTAGTATGCTGATTGCACATGTCCAGCAATGTTAATCACTGAAAATAAATGTGTGCGAGTATTTTGTCTTTTTTACAATATATATTCATATTCAAATCTTTTATATTTTTCCGTTCGACTTTGTTATTAATTTTTCATGTTTCACAGTCTTCAGAGTGTGCCTCTTTTCTCATGCATTCTTTTTTGTTCTTTGACAAAAACTGAAAATGTTCTTTGTGCAGTACTGCCAACCAAGAATAAACACAGAGAAAAAGTCTTCAATTTTGTGATGAATTTTTCAAGTCTCATCATGTCCTTTTATAGCTAGTTATATCCTTTCTTAAAGACCAATTAAGTTATAGGGTGAAAAGGTTATAATATTTTAAATATCCCTCCTTTACTTTTTTTGTTCTTTTCTCTTTCTGGCAAAGTTTACTTGCAGTCAAGATGTTTATCTTTAAAAAGAACTACAGAGAACCCCAACGCACACCCCACCAGAGGGAGAATCACAGAAAAGAATCTGTTCGAGATTAGGAATCTGGGAGAATTTCTTAAGTCTCTTAAATCACCTTACTCGTCATTCAGAGGGAGAAAAATGCCGACAACTGGCAAATGCTTTCCTTCCCATATCATATTCCCTGCTACCTTGTCCTCTTGTTCCATAAACCTAGCCCAGTGCTAGTCTTGGTCAAAGTCTGAAATTTATTTCTGGAGTTCTGCCCAACACTGTCTTTCCTACAATCTTTTCCCTTAGTTGAAAAGTACTCTTGGGCAAGATGTTTAGTCATTTATACCATAGCATGAATTATTTTTTAAAGACATACTTTTACTCCTTCTATACTAACTCACACACATAATCCTTGAGTTGAGATTTGAGTGTTAAGGAATTTGCTTCCTCCTTTTCATCTTTCTCCCTCCCTTTTCTTATTTCCTGTTTTATAAGCAGAAAGAAAAAAGAAAAAGTCATGCTAAAGAAATATCAGGAAGCAGATAGCCCAGAGTAGAACGCAATTTGTGATAGAGGAATCAGCCTAAAATTAAACCATGTTAGAAATGTCTGGTTGACACCGCTTGGCCCACAGTAAAACAATGGGGAAAATGGAGAAAGACCAGAGAGGTAAAGGGAATGGGGTGGTGGTGAGAGAAGACTGGCTGTTGGGTTAACAATAATCCAGCTATGCAGGTTATATTAAAAGCACCTTAGAAGTGAGAGACAAAGTCTCAAAGGGGGGTGAATATCTGTCAAATATTTTAAGAACAAGTGAAATTTTACAGGGACTCAGGCACATTGACCTTCTCCAGTGTTTATAATGATCTAACATACCAGGGTGCCTTTTGCACATGGACAAAATCTTGTCCATAATCAGGAATAACTGTCTCATCTCAGGCAGTGTAGTCAAAACACAGTGCTGACCAGTACTTTTTTTCCCCCTGATGTTAGAACTGGCCCTGGTTAGGAACTGAGAACTTGTGATGTCAAGGGAAAAAGTTGCCAAAAAAAAAAAAAAGCAAAACCAATGAAGGCTGCTACAATTTGTCTCTAAGTGAAAATCTGAAAGGCAATACTAACATTTTTGAGTGTGGATGTGATAATCAGTGATCTGAAAAGATGACCATCTTCTGCAAAAAATGAGTCATCGGTAGCTTTAGGGATTAAAGCAGCTCTACAGAATTGTGACTTCTGTTTAAAACCTAATAAAAATACTGAAGATATCTACAATCTCTGAGCCACATGTGGCAGTTCTCAGGTGAAGTAGTAATTAGACTGTTAACTAGTCCTGCCTCCCTCTTGCTCTAGTGTAGTCAAACATGGAGTTCTGGGGAAAGAACTTTAAGTAGGCTAAGAGTTAAAAGACTTAATTTGTAGTTTGGCTTTGCCTCAATTTATTGTGAACACTTGGACAATTCTCTTTACTCTTCAGACCTCAGATTCCTCATTCGCAAAATAAAGAGATAGTGGAAAATGATGTCTAAGCTCTTGTACAAACCTAACATTCTACTTCCTATTAAAATAGTTTTGTAATGATGCAAAGTCAGAAATCATTTTTCCCAGCTTTATGAAAGATTATCTTGCATTTTTCTTTACCTCTTTTTCTTTGCTTTGCTTTCTTCTTCTTCACTCTTTGCACTTAATTCCACCCTCTTTCACCCTAGGAAGTAGAATTTCCAGTCTAGAAGTATTTGCTGGTGTGCCTCCCTGGAGGCACAAGGGGTTAAATCTCAGCAATCAGCCCTTACTGCCACACCATTTGGATCCCTGGCCAGGGATCTACCCATAAGGCACAGCAGACCTTGTCTTCTTGCCCACTACTCCCTCAGTAGAGTATTTCAGTCTATCAGGCTGTTCTGCTTACTGCTTTCTGGTGAATCCTCTCAGCGTCCCAAACCTCTGGCCTATATCCCAGTTCTTACATGCGTAAATAAAATAAATATTCCCTAAAAAAAATGAAAAATGAATTATTTGCTGGTGCCTATAAAGCAATAGTGACTTGAAGTATTGAACTGAATGTCCTCAGGAGATACATACTGTGCCTTCCACTTAAAGCTCAATTTCTGCCTCTGTTTCTAGGTCTTCTAAGTCTCTACTTCTTAGTTTTTATTTTTTTTTTGTGGTCCCACCAAAGATATAGAATTCAAGAACAAGTGTGTTGAAAAGACTATAAAGTATCCCTTTGCCTTTGGATTCAAGTTTCTAATACCTTTTCCTGACAAATGCTGAGGCAAACTCTTCTAAGGTCCTTAGGGATCCACAGGACGGGAGTTTGTGGGGCTAGGGGAGTTTGTTTTATTCAAACCTTCAATCAAGACAGGAAAACTTAGCCCAACAGTTATCAGCCTAAGGTGAAAATAATAATAGCACTGGATGTACACATACCAGCCACACAGTTGTTCCCGCTGCCTGATACTTACAGTTCAACTGCATTCCTGGGCAGGTCCGAGGGAATCTCTGTCACTTGGCTCTCTTGGCAGAGGAAAACCCCATTAGAACAGTGACAGATCTGATGATGACATCCTGAGCCCAAGCTCAGGCACGCCAGCAAGAAGACCAGGAGCAAGGCCATGCTTATTTATTCATCCACTTCCTTCTTCCTACATCTGCAGAAAAAAATCATGGATTTCAAAGGCTCACACAGAACTCTTATGCGACGAGCCTTGAGAGCTATAGTCATGTGACCCACCAAGGGTTTTTCTTTCTTTTTTTTTTTTTTGGGTCACTTCCAGATAAATAGCAAAATTCCTGTGTACCATCAGTGGCTACTCCCTTATCCTTAGAGATTGGGTTTCTTACAACCTGTTTCCCAATGAAGACAACAAATAGAACCTTGATTCATGTATGAAGTAATTTACATTATTTCACTGCAGAAGTGTTCCTGCTGGTCACCAGTTTCCTCTGAAAACAGTAACATGATTGACTTAAAAAAAAAAAGAAAAAAAATAGGACACAATATAAGAAACAGCTTTAGGATGTCACTAAGTGAAGGACAGGGACTTGTTTATAGTTTTGCTATCAACTTCTTCCAGGCTACTCAGTATAAAAACTAGAACTTCAGTTTGATTAACCCCAGTGACAATACACTTATTACCAGTTGAAACTCCCACCCCTCATCTTGCTCCCTAACCCCCAACTTGGATCATGGATAAGTTCAATTATAACTAGTCACTGTGTAATAAGCAGATTATTCAACTGAGATTATTTTTAATTTTAAAACTATGCCATAGTCTCAATTTAGATTTTCCCCTCACATTTAGAAAGAGCAGGCTTATTAGGAAAAAGAATGAGAAATGAGAAACAAACACCTGCATAGACACAGGCCCAGTCTTGGGATGAGAGCTATTATAGATGGTCATTGTAACATAAATATAAATAATAGTAAACAATTACAGACAGAAATATAACTAGTGCTATTGTTTACTCTTTTATGCTCCTGTATCTACAAGTGACCATTATCTGAACTTTGTGTCTATTATTCCTTCATATTTTCTAAAATGAATTTTATTACAAAATATGTATCTCCACATAATATATTTGATTTTGGTGGTTTTTATATTTTCTATGACTTGTATCATTCTTTAAGTAGTCTTAGTTTTTTGTTACTTACTATTTAAAACCACCTTGGAATTTTAAAGCAGCAGCATGATGTTAAATATTGTTTGTTAATTTTCACAACTGTATATTTCGTTAAATACATATAGAATTTACATTTTCATTTTCTTGTGATCTTTCTTTATCCTGAAGTCATAAAAATATTCTCCTATGTTTTCCTCTAAGAGCTGCATAGTGTTCTTCAAATTTACATCTTTAATCTATTTGGTATTTCTATTTGTGTGGTAACATTCAGGGACTGAATTTCAGTTTTACTCAGTGGCATATTATTTTTTATCTACATCAATAAACAATTGCCCCAGAGCCATTTATTGATTAGACACACTTTTTCCCTCTAAAACCTATCTTTCCCATATTTCAAGTAACTACTTTCCCTAGGTTTGTGTTTAAACTCCCTCAGAGTCCACAGTCCTTTATCTCTGCACCAATGCTATATACTAGCTCAACTACCAGAACTACCTAAACTTGACAGATAATAGGAAAACAACTCTTTTTACATATATTGTCTATTTTTGGACCTTTGTTATTCCACATGACTTTTAGAGTCAGTTTGATAAAACTTCTTTAAAGAAATCCCAGTAGAGGGCCCTCCCTGAAGGTGCAGTGGGTTAAAACACAGCACGGAGAAGCTAGAGCCACTTCCGCATGAGTTCTATTCCCACCTGCCCTGGAGGTGACCACATGGCGCGGCAGACCTCTCCTGACCCAACCGCTGCTCCCCTCAGCAGTTCTGCTCCCCACTCTGTCTCTGGTGAAGTCTCTCGCCGCCCCTGAGGCTCTGGCCTGTACCCCAGTTCTGTATGCACAAATAAATAAATCTTAAAAAAAAAAAAAAAGGAAATCCCAGTAGAATTTTGTTTGGATGGCACAACATATCTCTTGTCTCTCCCGCTGCTTCCCCCCCATAGTGTATCTCAGTAGATTCACCTGTTCTGCTCCACACTCTACCTCTGGTGTATCCCCTCCCCTCCCATACCTCTGGCCTGTACCTCAGTTCTTACATGCATAAATAGCTAAATCTTTAAAAAAAAATAAAAGAATTTTGTTTGGAATTACATTATTGTACAGATTTGGGGGAATAATGTCTCTAAAATATTAAACTTTCTTATCCCTAAATGCGGTATATCATTAATTTTATAAGGCTTTCATTAATGTCTTTCAATACAGTTTTACATATTCCCTAGAAGTATGAATATCTGAAGTTTATTGTTAGATAACATATACATTTTATGCTATTGTAATATCAATATTTAAAATTATATTCATGATTGTTGCCACATGTAAAATGCAATTGATTTGGAATTTTTTTAAAGAAACTTTATTTTTTAAAGATTTATTTGTGCATACAGAACTGGGGTACAGGCCAGAGGTACAGGGGCAGTGAGAGGATTCATCAGAGACAGAGTGGGGAGCAGAACAGACTGAGTACACTGCTGAGGGGAGCGGTGGGTAGGTCAGGAGAGGTCTGCCACATCATGTGGTCACCTCTGTGGCAGGTGGAGATCGAACTCAAGCTGCAGTGGCTTTAGCTTCTTAGTGCAGTGCTTTAACCCGCTGCGCCACCAGGGAGGGCCTGATTTGGAATATTTTATACCTAATTTTCTAGCTAGATTTTAATGTAATCATTTACATTTATACAGCTCTCTCTATATCTATATATGAGTTTTATACCTCCCTTCCTTCTTTCCTCCTTCCTCTCCACTTTCCTCCTTTCTTTTCGCCTCCCCTCCTGTTCTCCCTCCCTGTTTCTTTCTCCCTCCCTTGCTTTTTTCCTTCCTTCCTCATTCTATTCCTCCCTTTCTCACTTTTCTTTTCTAGGAAATTTCTACTTCATTCATGTTTTTCAATATATTGTCATAAAGGTTTTTACTCTGTTCTTTTAAAATCTATATTAAAAAAATTTCTAAACATTGTTTTACTACCATACACTGGCCTACTCCCCAGTTCTTCTATGCAAAAAACATATATATATATATATATATATATATATTTATCTCTATTTTAGATCCCTAATTTAATTGCATGATGATCAGAGAATGTATTGATTTCCCCTCCCCACACACATATTGCTATGTATTTAAGGACTTAGTTCAAGTATTTTTTATAAATATTCAATGTGAGCTTGAGAAAAATCTATATTCTTTATTTACTTTTTGAGTCTGTATTTGTTCCATAAATTCAGTATATTATTATTTTCCTAACCGCTATACATTTTCTAACATGTTAAGATTTAATTTAATTAACTGAGGAGTTATATTGAAATTTCACATGATCAAAGTGATGCAATTTATCCCTGTGCACTATCAAATTTACTTTACATAATAAAATGTTTTTTGGAATATCTACATTTAGAGTGGTATAACTGATAAGTTATTTGTTTTATCATTTTGTAACATTTTGCTTTATCGATTATATTGTCTTCATGCTCTGATTTAACACACCAATATTTCACTTCATAAACATTTTTTTAGTATATTTTCCTTACCTCTGTGCACTGACCTTTCTTTGTTTTATGTTTTAAACACATCTTTTATTACTACTTGCCAACTGGATTTTGTGTTATAATCTATTCTTATAATCTATTTGAACAGATAACCTTAATAATTCACCTTTACTCTAGCTGTAGATCCATATATGGACACATTTTTCCTGTCATGGAAACTGATTTCTATTTTATTCTAAGTTTACACATTCTGTTTTTTTTATTTTTATCTTTCCTATTTCAATTTAAACTTTCAACTTAAATTTTAAAGTTTAAAAATTTAAATATAAGCATTGAGTAGTTAAAATGTGTTTATTGGTGTCCAGCATTTTAGTTCTATCCTTACTACATATCATTATTTCATACATTCAATATTCACTTAGGTTCTCTGCCACATTGAGCCATATCACTGGTGCAATAATGAGTTTTTTTTTTTTGTTGTTGTTATTTGCTTTGTGAACACTATATTGAAATGCTTTTGAGAAGCATTCCCTATGACCAAATATAATTCCTTTCCAAAGACCAAGTTTTAAAATAATGGAAGACGGCTCTTTTCAGGGATATGAGTGGTAAATGCCCAACAGTTAACTTTCCAGAAATAATAAAACCCGTATTATAGCATCTGTTGATTTCTGTGGTGCAAATTCTCCCATCTCAGCTTATATCAAATTACCAACCAGTTTGCAAAATTCTTGAACAATTATTGATCTTTTCTTACAATCTGGTAGGAGCCAGTTCTAGCATATCACTGGCCATTTCATGCCTCTTGAATCACTTTTGACCTGCCTAGGAAGTCCCACTTCCTTCAGTGTTCCTTATCTAACAAAGCTTCGAATATGCTAGTTTATCTGTACCAACAGTTTATAATAACCTTCAACCTGGGAGGTAGAGCATGAAATGTTTTTCTGGATGTTCTATAAGCTTGTTAGTCTATCCAAAGAAAGGTGTTTCAGGGAGTGAATATCTATGACCTACTCTCAGAAACAATTATCTGGCTTGTATTCTTCTGGCTACTTACATGATATTCAGAAAGATGTGCACAGTGACTAAAACAGAGAAAAGTGAGGGAAACCCATGATTGCAGTTGGTGGGTCCTCACCTACATGCTTACAACTGAAGGCTATCACTCAAAAGTAGACATGTGGTGAGAAATAACAATAACAGGATATTTCTTTTAGGAATCTATCTTTTAGGAATTCTAATAGTGGCCAAGTTTTCTGCCTCTTCATGGGAAGAACACAGTGACACATTGTAAAGTGGCACAAACACACACAGGTGGAACATATTGTGGCACTTCTTGCTAACATTTGCCACAGGTATCTAAGCATTTAGCATAAATCACTGTCATGCTAGATAATAGATGCTGACAATGATTATTTGAATATTCATTTTCAGTTTTCTGTGGCTGTCCTATTACTAAGCATGTTGCTACATCAAGAGGGAGATGCTACATCAATAAGGTAGATTGGTCTTTTTAAAATAATTACATTGTAAAATAACTGGAGGCATAATTCTCCATTCAGAATTCTTATTTTATAGGTTTGCA